TTAAAGTTAAAAAAAACTTACTAGGTTATTGTCTAAAAGGTGGAATGTCAAATTAATTAAGATATGTATAGACTGAAGATTATTGATGAATATTAGAAAGGTATTTTTTGTTTGATTAATAGAATAAGAACTGTATTGGTTTGAACATGACAGTAAATATTATGGGGGAAAGAGAGGGAATTAGTTTGTTGTAATAATTTGAGATTTGTACTAATGATATTCAAATGTAACAGAATTACTATGCTCAGCCGCCACGCTACTTTTCAAATGTAAATGTAATATTGTAAAATCAATAAAAAACTTGAAACTGAAAAAAAAATAAGATCAAAATTAACAGCTTTCTGAATTTAGTTACGGATGCCCATCTGACAACAGATAATTCTGGGCAGCTTGCAAGGACTGGAACAGCAGCTACAAAACTGATTTGTGACACTTGAGATAAACAACAAGTCCTAATCATAAAAAAAAAAAATCACATCAGCATCCCAGCTCACTTAATCTCTTGTCCCAAACACTGGAGGAAACAAATAGGTCTTACGAAAGACTAACTGGATTCCCATTATTCCCTATACATCGTAAGGAAGGGCAATGATATTCTAGCCATTTCATGTTCCTATGTAGCTCTTTTCCTGACTGCAGGGGTTGGAAGAAGTTTTGTTAAATCTCTGTTTGGAATACATCAGCATTGGTGACAGCTTTAATTAATCCTTTAAAAATAAACTGCAATTTCATGAACTGCAGTTTTATTGTATGATTCAGCCAAGGTGTCGCATGGTTAAAAAGTTTCATCAGTAGTAAATGTGCTCAGCAACTCTCTCTCTTTCTCTATCTATCTATACCAGTATTAAAAAATAGAGAATAAAGCAAGGATTTGCAAAACCCATATGACAACCATACTGATTTTCTCAAGTTTTATTTTGGTTTTATACATATTTCTTTCTATGTATCAATTTGCCAGTTTATACAGATCAGATACCTAGAAAGCTATTCAAGAAATCTTATTTTGGGAATTTTGAATGCTAAACCTTAGTATGACAAAAAAGGGTGAACATTTCAGAGAGCTGTACTTTGCCCAAATTCTTTAAAATGGTGGCGCCATGCTAGAAAAGAACATATTAATTACAGAAAAAATATTAATCAACGGTTATTAAAGATAGTGGAATGAGAACACTCTTGATAGGCTTCATTTGAGATCTAAAGAGATTGAAAAGATACTTAGAGGATTTTTAATTTCCCTTTACTCTGACAGCCACACATTTAAAATGCCAGTGCTGTTCTATTAAAGCTAATGATTATCTCTGGGCAGTGGATGTCTGATGTTAGCTGCCCCAAAGGCAGTCTGCTTCAAAAGACCTTGCATATACCCCCCAAAAAGAGCATACTGTTCCCCCCTTCCCACTCCCACCCCCCAGGTAGATGAGAGATATACCAGCAGAGGTGGGTAGCTTAAAAGGATATTGGAAAGATATAGGAGAAAGGGGAAAAAATAGATTTCTGCTTGAGGAGGGCAATAGAAAGATAGGACAGAACCACAAACAAAAAAAAACAGTTATTAAGTTTTATTTCCAAGCTTGCAAAGTCTAGCAAAATGCCTAAGGCAACCCAAAATATAAGCGAAGCAATTGCAGCCTAATATCATACTGTGATACGTGACCTGTTGTATGTATAATGCTAAAAAATAAGTTATGTACTCAGTCAATCCACATTAAAAAAAGCTGGATTTTAGTAACCAATTTGCACATGTCTGAATTACATTTTGAACAATATAATTATTTTGCTAATGGGGGGGGGGAGGGAGACTTACATAGAACACTGAACTCCATCCACTAATGGCTGATGAATTTTATTCACCTACTCTGGGCCACATTAACATTGTCTTTGTATATTCAGGCGTATCTCTGTAAACATAAGGACTACCCGTAGAACTTTTTTACAAGCGAACGCTAGTATTCAAACTTACTGTTACCTGTTATTAGAGTCTATCCTTTCTATATGCTTACAAAAATTTTGCCGAAATACCACAATAGAGAAAAATAACCTTTGTGGCATCGTGCTTTTTTCATATACTGGCACAGGCATGCCAATAATGCCCAAGACAATTTATCTCTTTTTAAAATATTATTTAATTTTGGAGCAGTAACTGACTTAACGAGAGCCAGTTTGGCGTAGTGGCTAAGGCACCAGGCTAGAAACCAGGAGATGTGACTTCTAGTCCTGCCTTAGCCATCAAACCAATTGGGTGACTTGGGCCAATCACTCTCTCTCAGCCCTGAGAAGAAGGCAAGGGCAAACCTCTTCCAAAATCCTGCCAAAGAAACTGCAGGGAATTGTAGTTGGCAGCAGTCACCACTAACTCAAAGGCAAACAAGCACAAACACTGTCTTAAAGGCAGAATAAACACGCAGTAAATATTTTCAATAAGAAATTCAAGAAAGAAAGGAAGCATGGAAATCCATGGAACACTTTTCTTGGGCTTTTTACAGGGAGCAAAATTATGTCTTATCTCCCACTATTAGTGAGACAAATTCATCAGTTTGACTTTTGCATTCAGATTACCGTATTTTCTGGCGTATAAGGCAACCAGGCGTATAAGACGACCCCCGACTTTGACGCTGATTTCCGCGCTTTAGAAAGTCATCTTATACGCCGGAAAATACGGTATATAGAAGTTAGCATTTGGGTGCATGCTTGGCTGGTGACCTCTTTGTCCCACTGGAACTAAAGCCCATGGAACTCCAGAAGCTTTTATTTGCCTGTATAGAAAAGATGTCTGAGCATGTTTAAGAAGTCCTTAGATCACCGACTCTTTGAAGCAGCAGTCTCTATGAGAAACCCATCAGACTTATGCAAATTATGCATGTTTTGCTTATATATTAGGAGAAGGCAACTGTCTTTAGAGTATTGAGGAGAAATAGGTTGGGAGAACTCTCTCCAAGACTTATGTTTAAATGTATGTCTCTACAGAAATATGGTAGTTCTCTTATTTTACTACCAGACCTTGGCCATAAAAATTGAGATAACCACTAGATTTCAAGAAAGAAAAAACACTACTTCTTTACCACCATTTAGTGGGTGCCTGGAATTTTGCAGCTCAGATGTAGCAGTAAGTCCTAATTGAAACATGGAACTTAGTGGGTAAATTTTGGCCAGTTATTCTTTCTCAACATAAACTGCTCACAGGCCTGCTTTTGTGGGAATATAAATGGAACTCCTATGCATACCAGCTTACAGGATAGGAATGCATAAAATAAAATAATAAATAAAATAAAATAATAATAAAATAATGCATGCTATAAGTCAAATAACTGTTGTTTTGGTTACCTGGTGCTTACACTACACTTGAGCAACATTACTCCAGCTTGTTAGTTTATAGCTAATCAGAAAAGGGCAAGCCTAGCCTAGGCTTTTGAAGTTTCTATCTTTTACCTTTTCTATATACATCCACATGCTGAAGAATTCTTCAGTATTAGCCACAGAAACCCAAGGACTTGTAAAGAAGTCTGGAGTATGTTTTAAAGACCACTGGTGAGTAAGTGTGCCTTAGTAATCCCCAAAGCCTCCAAAAATGACTAGAAAACAAAACTGACTTGGATAGGGTTTTTAATTACCTGCACCTATGATCTTTACAGATGTTCAATCTATGGAGATTCGCATGTTGAAATGAAGTGAAAAGATGCTTGCTTTCTGAGTGCAGCACAACAGTAAGCCAAGCAATACATCTACTTATACTTACTTGATCAGCACACTTACATTCAATTTAGTAACACTAATAGTCAACTTATTATAAACCTTCTATAAAGCTGAAAACACCACATAATGCTTCAACTAACAGTAGTACCAACTTGTTCCTTCAGATTTAAATTTTGTTTAACAGCATTCTTCTCCTCCCCACTCTTCTGCTTACAAAATGTTAATTAGAGTTTAAAAGGAAACAGCATATTGCGGGAGAGGGCAGTCAGTGAAGCAAACCAGCAAGAATTCTGACACATACATAAAGGCAGGATTTAGCATATTATCTTCTAAAAGTCAGAACACTAGAAGACAAAAATTGAAAAAAACCCAAACTTGATATGCATTTAACATTCCCGTAAGGCATTTAAAATGACCCATCACAGGATGCTTCAATACATAGAAAAAAAGGCAGTAAGGTACTGGTTAATAACTGGGAAGCACCATTTCAATAATACCCACACTTCTCTCTAAAAATCAGAGTTACAGGTTTGATGTTGCTACACTATTCTCTCTCCCTTTGCATTTCACAGTCAAATCATGAACTTGGGCTTATAAGATGTATTATAACCGAAAACAGCAATCCTTTGCCTTCCAAGCCTCAACAGGCAATTTTCTACTGAAAATCCTTATCAAACAGCACCTTATTGTTCTTATGAACTGCTGGACCCTGAATAGATGAGAGATTGAGAACCCAGAGGGCCTGTGTTAAAATAGCCAAATGGGAAACATCTTGTTTGCTCTGAGTGGGAACCTCAAGTACCAGACCACTCTGGGCCACTCTGGCAAACTCCAAAGCAAAACAGGTTGCTAACTTCAGAGAGGGCTAAGCTCACTCAGGCCATGCAAACTGTCCTATAGGTGTCTTTCCCAGCAACTAGAGAGTGCTTTCTCTGCCTCAATAAGCAATTCCATTGTTTGCTCTGCCCGCAGCAGCTGTGAGGACTGTGGGTGTCAAGAGGAGGGAGGGAAGGCGGCCGGGCCAGCTCTCCAGGTAGAGGGAAGGGCGCACCTTACAGTTGCCAAGCAAGCTGCAGGACTGAGGAAACAGCGTCCTGGCTATACCTGGAAGGCTGCGAGCGGTGGAGGGAACGGCATCGGCAAGCGAAGGCAACTGTACCGCTTTAGTTATAAAGGGCAGCAAAAGGCATCTCAATCCGGATACAAACCCCACAGCGTGGCGCACTCTTTGGGCGCAGCCCTTGACTATGCCCAAGTACCTGGGCTCCTTCCCCGCCACCCCCGCACGTGGTAAAGAGCTTTGAACCCACCGCTTGCCCCCGTGGCTGTGGCCGACGCCGATGCTGGTGGTCCCGTGGAACGAAGACGGCCAGGACATGCGAGACTTCTTCAGGCCGGGACGGTCGCTCGTGTCCATGGCGTCCGCTCTCTCGATCTGCCGGTGGGGGTGCCGCTCCGTGTCCGAGTAGCCGCGATGCTTGATTTTGATGGGCGTCCGGGGCTGCCTCCAAAGGTGCTGGGGCGGCTTGAGGGTGGCCTGTCCCTCCCGCGGCACCGGCAGCGAGAGGGACAGGCTCTTCTTGGAGCAGGGCGGCGGCGGTGCCTCCATCCTCTTCGTAGGCTTCGGACCGAGCCAAGAACCGCGCCCGGGACAGGCAGAAGGCAGTCTAGCCGCGGCTGCAGATCCCGGCCAAGGACTGACAGCGAGTGGCCGCCCTTTCCCTCAAGCGACGCGGGAGGTTACAAACTCCGCCAGAATATCGTCTTCATGCCTAGTTGGGCTCCCCAAGAGAGTCCCGAGCAGCTCTCGAGTCCTGCCCGGACGCCCGCTTCATAGCGAGCAACTCGCAGCCTTTCCGGAGCGACTTCTACAGCCGGAGCGGCCGCGGCGGTGGCAAAAGACGCTCGCGCGCCTAGAGCCGACGGAGCGTCCCCGCCCCCGCCCCCCCTTCCCCGCGCGCGACTACGCCACCAACGAGAGCCTTCGAGAGGGGAAGGGGAAGCGCGCCGCCGGTGGGGCTGTGGGGCTTGCAGGCTGTGGGAGGAACTAGCGAAGGAGGAGGAGGAAGCACCCCGGGGGTCGGAGAGCAGCCTGTCGCCCGCGCTGCCCTGCCCGCCTGGAAAAGCAGCGGCGCAGCTAAAGAGGCGTGGGCGTGCGCTTTATTAGACGCCCGCAATTCCCTAAGAAAGTACTGTGGTTCTTGGCCGAGGAGCTCTCGCCCAGCCTTTAACCCAAAAAGCAAATCGTCACCCCCTCTCCTCCCTGGTTGCCTCATAAGTTAGGACTTTTTGGCAGTGAAATATTTGAAAGAACAAGAGCGTCTGCAGGCAGTGTTTAACTGCAGACTCCCCATCCCAAACGCTAACGCATCTCCGCAGCTGTAAAACTGCATTTGCCTTCCAAATGTGTTTGGGACTACAACTACCAGCATTCCCAGCACAATTCTAGTACCTGTACTCCTGAGGCACCAAGTTGAGGAAAATCTGTTCTACCAAATAAAGACAGGAGAGGGCGACAGAGGGCAAGCTGCCCATTTACATTCCATTTTAGCACTCTGTTCACCCAAGATGTTGAGGTATAACGTGCTTGTGTATTTCTGACTTGGATACTTTGAGAACTCAGTTACTATGATGTGTAAACTATGCTATGCGTGAATCCAGCTACACTCTCCTTTCTCCTTTAAAACGAATCATTCCAAACTTCTTTTGTTAGCGTCTAAAATTGTTGCGGGTTGTTGCTTTCTGTGGTGACATCAGTGGCCACTTTATAGAAGGACATCCTGCAATAGATGGTTGCACCATAACTATCTCTATAGAGTAAAAAAAAAAAAAGGCCACTAATAGCACAACCTGTCCTTTTTGTGCCTCTTTTATATTTATAAATATATGTTTTATATTTGGAACAATACATGCAATACTTCCTGCAGGATAAAAGCAAGTAAACAAAAAAGGAATCCTTTCTGTGAGTTGTAGTACTTGGTTTGCTGAGATTGCAATCCTATTTCAGCAGACCAAACAAGGGGCCACCTTTTTCCAACCAGGAAATGTGTTATGGCACTAAGCAGGAAAGTTGTCTTTTAGCATCCTTCCTAATGAATGGGCCAAGGCCAAGAGAAATCCATGGATCTGATCACTCTCATGCCTACACATGGGCAGAAGAAAAAATGGAGCTGATCAAGCTGACTCACCCAGCAGATTATTCCCAGGGCAGCCATTCGGATCCTCCTGTGGGAAAGCACAGAGCAGGAAAGCACTAAGAAGAGGCCTCCACTGTGGCTTCCTACAGAACTTGCTGGATTATAGTTTGCATAATCCTGAATATCCTGGCTAGGGCTGCGGGAAATTCTAGTCATATAACAGCAGATTAGCAGAGATTCCCCACCGCTGGGAACCATCTCTTTTATTTGTTTTTAGCATCCATTATACCCCTTCTGAAGATTTTTTTTTTCTTCTACAGACCCTGATGACTATGTATTCAAGCCTTTATCCAGCATAAGAAAGCTCTCTCGCTATAGCTGTCTTGACTAAAGGCATTTTCTAAAGAAAATGCAGCCTTTCTCTCAATTGTGCAAACTGGTAGCTGCTTTAAGGGCTTAGAAGCAAAAGATGGTTTCCTATCACTGCTGGTTTATTGTAACACTCCAACAGGCATAGCATCACTATGGCAGTTCAACACACACCCAAAGCTTCACTTTCATCTTGTCTTTAGACAAGAAGAGCCCACGCAGGCTAGCTGGTTTGCATGGTAAGGGGACAATATAGATTGTTCCAAGATGTGCTTTATGGAAACTATTTTTATCCTTCCAGACAAAAATAGATGTTGAGAATATAATTTTGTTCTCCAGAGTTCATGACAACCAATCCATGTTACACAAGATGCTACTCAAGCCTTGACAATCAATAGGTATAAATTCTACAGAATGAGGAGAAACCAGCTACAAGTAGACTCGGGGAAAAGCACTAAAAAGAGAAAAAAGGGGTAAAGAAGATTGGAAATAAGTCAGGAGGCAGCTGGCAAAAATGATATAAGTGAAGCAACTGAAGTGTCTCTGAGCATAGGCAGAGTACTGCTCTTTGTTTCCATTGACACTTACTGCTTTTGCAGAGTAAACCTTATACTCCATGCCTTAGTGACTGATTACATCCTGTCTTTCAGGATTTCTTAAATGTGACATCAGAAATCTGAGTTGAAAGAGGAAAATGGAGCCCTTGGGACTCTGCATGCCAAAAGCTCAACTTTGTGCCAATCACACTCAACGTTTGCAAAGCAGAAGCCTTGTGGAAATGGATGGAGGTATAACAAGAAACTCCAGTCCCAGTAATTCTTCCAGCCTGTCTATTTGGGACAGGATGTAATAGTTAAAACTATTTTAGTATGGACTAATGGGGCAAAGGGCAGAACATTCTTTTAACATTAATGTATAATTTCATCTCAGAATAGGGTAAAACATAATAATCTTTCTTCTGCATTGTGTAATACCCATCTTAATTATTCCCACAAATAAAAATATTTTCTTGCAGAAAACAAAGCACAGTAGCACTGACAAAGAAATGGACTCCTATAGCAATAATAATAAAAAAACCAGACTTGGGTCCAACTGAGTTAATATATTCAAATGTCCAGGACAGGTCCTCTATGTATGGAACCCAATGTTTTTTTGTATTCCCAGGGCATTGGTGGACCATGGCGGCCCAATGCTTATTCAAGATCTATTTTAAACTATTTTAGAACTGTTTAGAAGTTTCATGCAGATGAGGAATAAGAAGCTAATTGCCTAGTTCAGCATCACTGCACACAGCCTACATCAGAAACCAGATGCAACCTAGCTTGACTTAGCTAGGCAGAAGATCTATAAGTAGAACCTGCAACCTGCTAAACTATCTCACAAGCCAACTGTTAGAGAAGCATCTTGCATAGCACACTGCTTGAGAAAAGCTAATTTTAAACTGGGTGATTTTTTTTCTCAATGAAGAAAAACAGAATACCTCCCTTCTGATCACATGCGCTGGTAAAAAAAAAAAAACCTGCCAAGCCCTAATGCTGTCTCTCCCAATGCTGTTCTGTTTGCTTCAGAGAGGGAAAAAAAAACATGGCAGCACTGAGAGAAACTTCTAGGCTATCCAAAAATATGTATTGCAAGTGCTAAACTCAATGTAATAAGAAGTGCAACTGGTACTAGTTTTTTGTAATTTCAAATCAGATTATTGTTAATGTAACCACTCGTTCATAAGACAAAATAAGTAAAAAAAAAAGCATGAATTTCCATTAGCTTCCCCCCCATTTTTCTGGGTGAAACTCAATATGATGTTCTTATTTCATTGTACAGGTTTAGAAAATACTGTGTCTTGAATCAATTCTTATGTTACTAAGGTTACACAAGAAGTTATTTATGATTTTCTCATGAACTATATAATTACAGTCTCATAACTCTTTACAGAGAATTTGTAGGAAAAGAGACAGAGTTAAGAGATCCAAGTCCAGTCCCCTCTTGAATTCTCTAATTCTTATCTAGCGCCAATTTAGTGCTGACCGTAAGTTGACTAGATTCTTATGTATAGACAGGAGCAATAAGTCTGTTTAATTAAAACTTAATGTGTGGTCCTGATTCTTTACGCCTGACAGAATTATTTTATTTGGTGCCATCTTGTGCCTGCCTGGAGCATTTCTTTTGCATTTTCTTGTCCAATAAAAGTCATTAGGTTTCAATTAAATTTTAATATTTCAAATTAAAAGGAGACCTATATTTTATCTTCCTTCTTCACCTTCATTTTATTGTAGCTAGTGAAATCTCTCAGATGGAATGACATGCCAGTAACATTAATGAAATTACTGGAATTGTTTCAGGTTTTTAAACTTTTAGTTTCCAGAAAGGCCCCACACTCTATTTCTCTCACACTCCAGGTTTGGAGGGGCATTCCAGGTGAGACATGGTGATCTAGTCTCTGCCTGAAGATCTCTGGCAGAGGGGAACATATTAAGGGTAGACCTCATTAAGCATCCATTTATTCAATGACCATTCAAAGTTATGACAGTGCTGAACAAGGTGACTTATGATTGGTCATTGAAGTTGCAGCAATATATTACAGCATCCCCAAAGTTACATGATTGTAATTCAGGTGCGTGGCAATTGGCGTGCAATGATGATGGTCACAGTGTCCCACAGGCATGGAACATCAGAGATATAGACCATGCACAATTCATTTAATGACTGTAACCAGAGTAAGTTGGCATGTTAATATGATTTTTCACTATATGAACCTGTCACTTAGCAACAGAGTTCCTAGTCCCCAAGGACTACCTGTACATTATGAAGCAAGTATTAACCTGGTTATCAAGTTTTACTTGTCAAGAAACTCTTCCTAATATCAAAATAGAATTTTACTTTCTTGTTGGGGAATAATAAGAATAAGTCCACATTGTTCAGTGTGACAACCTTTTAGATATCTGAAGATCATTAAACCTCTCTTAGGTCTTTCCTTCTGCAAATTAAAACATACCCAGATTTTTAAACTGCTCCTCATAGGACCTGGTTTCCTGCACTCACTTTACTTTGTTCATGTGATATTTTTTTTAATTATGATGTCTGGGAACAGGACTCCTGTTCCAAATGGACCTGCCAAGGTTGGATAGAATGGAACAATTTCTCCTAATATATTTAAAAATATTTGCTTTTTTAGCAATTGCATCACATTTATAGGCTCATAATGAACTTGTGATTTACCAGAACATCCAGGTTCTCTTCATATGTACCCCTGCCAAGCCAATGATCCCTTTCTTATACATGTGCAGGACTTTACTTTTCTCTCTATTAAACCTCATCCTATTCATTTGGACCTACTGTTCAAGCCATTATAGATCTTTTAAATGTTTTTTTTCTTTTCTAAAAGGTTATCCATTCCTTCTAGCTTTGTTTCACTTGCAGACT